GCATCGGGCTCCCTGCTCCGCGGGAAGCCTGCTTCTCCCTCTCCCGCTCCCCCTGCTTGTGTTCCCTCTCTCGCTGTCTCTCTCTCTGTCAAAAACTCTGTCAAAAAAAAAGAGTCAGATCTCAGCTGACTGAGCCACCCAGGCGCCCCGTATCTGGCACTCTTCACCACACTGATCAATAAACCAGGGCCCAGGAGAGCTGAAGTCTAGCTTCGGCCACCAGGGAATCTGCTCATTGGGAACTGGAGCAGACGTACTTCATACCATCTCGGGGTGAGGGTGAATTTTTAACTGCCACCGCCCTGAGTAGTGGCATCCCTGGAGAAGTGAAAGATCACCATGCTCCACAATTTGCACAGGCTCAGAGAAGAGCCTCCCCAAAAGATCAGTTCTCTTGATAAATGGAAATGGATGGACGCACACACACCCTACTTGTGTAGGACGGTATGACACCTAAGAAAAGGGAATCTGACCACCTTAAGACATCAGAACTCAAAAAGACCTCGTGGAAATATTCTAGTCTAACTACCTCATTCTCACAGACAGAGCTAAAGCTCAGTGAAACCAAATGCTCTGCCAAAGGTCAATATTTGACAAAGCGAGACTTGGGATTTCAAGTCCAGTGGTCTTTCCAGCGTACAAATGGTTCTCAAATATACCCTGCAAAGCAGTTTGATTCTCAGAGGTGATCTGGGGGAGGCCAGTGGAGGTCAGGGCCACACCCGCCTCTTCCACTTTTAGACAGAGCTGCTCTGATTGATCTGTTTAGGCATTGTGCTTTCAAGTAAAATTTCACTTGATCAAAGGGTCCCATGGTTAAGAAAAAAATTGGAAAACAACTGTACTATTATAACACGATGGAGCTCTGCCATCTGGAGGAGTCTGGGATAAAATAGCAGACCCAGGTTTAATGGCCCAGAAAGACCTTAGTCTTTTTGTTCTGCAAACACAAGAGCATGGGTGGAGGATGGGACGGGAAGGGGGGACGACAACAATACCATTCAGCAGCAAAAAGTAGAGCCCAAATTTACCTCTAGGTGCTTGGTAGCTTCTTCATTGCGGGACATGAGTAGCAGTTTGGTGCGCAGGCTTCGGAAATGCATGTCACCCAGCAGGGATGCCCGCTTCACAGGAGCTTCTGTGGTCGACTGGGAAGAAACCAATGGAAAAGTCACTAAAACGGACTTTGAATACACACTGGGGAAGAGCCAGGAGCTGGGAATCAGGATGCCCGAGTCTCTGGAAAAGGATAGGAATTAAGAAATGAAGTAAGAGGAGGAAAATCATCATCAGTCTCACAAGGGCCTACCATCTGGGCAACTAACGGAAGTGATTTTAGGCAGCAGGCTGAGGTGAGAACTGTAGTCTATTTTCTGAGAGTCCAAATACACAAGGGAGGGTCCAGCCCAGACTGTGATATGATGGCCAGGCTAAAAAAAATAAATTAAGGTCAGACATGAGGGAAGACTAAGGGAACGTGGGGCTACCTGGGCCCACAGGGGTTAGGAGCCATAAAAAGCCTTCTTTGACAAATAAATAGAAGCACATCTGAGCTCCTTCCTTTCTGCAAAGAAGTTCAATAGGGAGAAGGAAAAATCGCTGCAGGGGTTTGGGTGCAAGTCAGGCAGGCAACTCACCAGAATGAAGAGCTCACTATTTGTGATGTTGAGAAAGATGCAGTTCGCTCCCAATGCTTTCTTGAACTCTTTATGGACGTTTTCGTTGGAGCAGCTGCCGAGAAAGAGAAGAATGCTCAGTGGGCACAGTGTAGCGGGCAAAGGTTCGGGGGAGAGACAGGGACCACAAAAATGAGAAAAGAGGAAGGACCGCAGTGAGAGAACAGGGATGAATAAAGCGAGGGACTGGGAGCCAGAAGGGCTCTGGAGGCCCAAGGGAACAGGAGGGAAGACTGACAGTAGGAGTGGGGCCTGGGAGAAGAAGGGCAGATAGGAGGACCGTCAAGGGGGCCCCCACCCCAACATCCCTAACTCACGCCTCTCTCAGATCCTCAGGCACAGCCATGGTAACCTTGAAGAAGCTGCCTTTGGTTGCCAGGGGATTGGGATTCACTGGCCGGAGCCGTTCCAGGGTCACAATCTCGTTGTAAGTGGCATCGCAGGCGGCGTATTCGATGACATAGAACTGGCAGAAAGAGAGAAGGGAAGAAACAAGTGTGGATGACCGGAGCGTCTGCCTCCCCCCTTTCATTGACTAGGACGTGTGCCTCCCATCACTCACATCTCCCTTCATCATCCGCACCCGGGCCAGCCACCAGCCACAAGGTTCCTGCTCGTTGGCTCGAGAATATACCTGAAGGTGAAAATAAAAGAGATACTGAGGACCACCCAAAAACATCAGACCAGAACAGGCATTCAGACACTTAGGAGGCACATTACATAGAAACAAAGGAAACTCAAGGAAGGAGTGGATTAAAAACCAGAGGGTGGGGGCGCCTGGGTGGCTTAGTCGTTAAGCGTCTGCCTTCGGCTCAGGTTATGATCCCAGGGTCCTGTGATCGAGCCCTACATCGGGCTCCCTGCTCTGCAAAAGCCTGCTCCTCCCTCTCCCACTCCCCCTGCCTGCGTTCTCTCTCTCTCTCGGTCTCTCTCTCTCAAATAAATAAATAAAATCTTTAAAAAAAAAAAAAAGAGTAAAAACAGGTAAGATAAACAGTCTTCCAGCTCCTATATATGGATTCTGTTTAATTATTCTCTTGCTTCTAAGTTTCTCGTGAGTTCTCAGGACAAAATACTACAATCCAGAGAAATCTGTTCTTCCGTTTTTGTCACTTTTCCGACGGACTGCTCTGTCCTCATGAAATTGGAAGTTCCCGGGGGGCTGCCGAGCCCAGAACAGCTTTAGGGGATCTCACACCTGCCCCCCCCCCATACTCTCTCCTATGCGTACACACCCGCAACTCACCAACAAGGTTCCTGGGCACTTGCACGGAGTCCTCCGAAAACTCAAGGTAGCTCCGGGCCTGTCGGCACGCCTCAGGAGTCTATGAGGAGAGGAGGGGGTTGTTACTCAGACCCTGATCCTCCTGCTTCTCTCTGCCTTTGGGAAAGTGTGCTGCCACCAAAGTCAGGGAGGGAGGTCCACCGAACACTCGCCTCGCTCTACCCCCAAGGGACCTAAACCACAGCTGTCTTTCGCTGACCTCCCCATAGATGCGGAAAGTGCAGGTCTCTTCACCCAACTCGATGGCCGTCACCCCGGGTACTTTTCGGGCCTGCTGGATGTTGGCACCGTGAGTCCCAATGGCCAGTCCCATCAGGTCTTCTCGCACGGTGAACTCCTCCTGAAAGGCGGCTGCCAACTGCTTACTTGTCTGAAAGGAAAAGGCACAGTGAGGTTTGTGGTGGTGGAACCCCAGACACCTGTCCCAGGTACCTGACACTGCAGGACCTCGAGAGAAAAATGTGTGAAAACAAGCCAGAACCACCCCGGATCCGACCACGGGGACCCGTACAGAGAATTCAGGAACCTCTCCGTCCACCCCCTACCTGGCAAACATCAATGGCTTGGCGGGGAGGGGAAGCACATGAGGGCAGAGTTTGGGCTGGAGCCACCACAGTTCTGGATGTGGTTCTAACACTATCTGGTTATGTGATCCTAAACACAACACACTCTCAGGGTCTCTATTCTGTCATCTGCTAAACGATTACACCGGACTTACCCCGCCCCCAAACTCTCAGGAGATTAAATAAGGTTATAATAGTGATTAAATAAGGATTAAATAAGGTGTGAAAAACCCTTTTCCAAGATAAATGCAAAACTAAGAAACTATGATTACCTTAACCAAACTAGTATCAGCTCCCAAAATAATGAACAGAAAACAAGGGGCTGAGAAAAGCATAAAAGGAGCCCATTATGGAACAACACACTGCCACTTCATTTCTCGGCCAGGCCTTAGATAGCTGGGCACAAGGGCAGGAAGACGGGGAAGGTTCTGGAAGAGGGAGTCCTAGGTAGAAGCACCAAACAGGAGAGCTATCTGAAAGGGGACATTCCCGATTCCAGTCCACTACTACTCCTACTTACAAGACAGAAGGGACTACGTTACGGCGAAGGCTTACATGAGGCAAGAAGAAAAAGCAGACAAAAAGGGACTACACTGGGTGTTCAAATAACTAAGGGAGGGAGGGAGAGGATGCACAATGATTTACAAACATCCTCTAGAGAAGTTTGCCCAGGGCTGAATTTTTTTTTTTTCTTAAAGATTTTATTTATTTATTTGAGACAGAGAGAATGAGAGAGAGCACATGAGAGGGGGGAGGGTCAGAGGGAGAAGCAGACTCCCCGCCGAGC